GAGCCACCTGATTTAGAATATCCAAACAATGACCATTAAAGTAGTCCATAAATGTCTCACTGTCTGTACAATTCAAAAAGAAACTAGGATCAAACAACAAAGAAAACTTTACAAGTGCATCCTGATTAACAAAGCGTTTTTGAGCCAGCACTTTGCGGACAGAGGGCGTAATGTTATGTAACAAATTGAAACGAACACAATAGTGATCGCTCATTTGCATGTCATCAATACTTAAGTTATCAATGTCCAAGCCTAAGGAAAAAACCAGGTCTAAAGTATGGCCTTTATTATGGGTAGGACTATGAACGTACTGGTGGAAGTTAAAAGATTCCATGAGAACTAAAAAGTCCACCGCCGCCCCACAGGAAGGGTCATCGACATGAAAGTTAAAATCCCCAAGAAGTAAAACACTCTCAGACTTAATGATAGATGATAAAAAGTCAGAAAACTCCTCTATAAACAATCATATAGAACTTGGAGGTCGGTAAATCAAGATACAATAAAATGGGTCAGTGTGTCCAACCTTACTCATTTGAAGCTCAAACGAGCTAAAACTATCCGTGTTCATTAGCCTGCAATGAAAACGGCTCCGGAAAAGGAGCGCAAGACCACCTCCTCGCCGCGAAACCCGCGGGGTCCCAAACACGGAGCAGTCCGGAGGACAAAGTTCGTTCAGGTGGGAGTAGTCTTGCTCCCGCTGCCAGGACACACAAACCACATTTCGAGCACTACTCAGTTTGCAACTCTGATGCTGAGAGCGTGCAGGCACATATTTGTAAGCACTGAATCAGATTTGAGAGCATAATCTCAGCCATACATGTTCTTCTTTCTGAATCTGCGTGCTCACATTTCTCCACTGGGTTTTGTGTGAAATCTGTCCATGCTAAAACTTATGAAGGTGCACAAAACAAGCTGTGAATGGTATTCAGTTTGCAAATCAGAATTTGCAAGTGCAAAGACAGAACTGTAAGAGCAGGAAAAGAATCATGAGCGTAATGGATGATTTCAGCAAGCAGCCTCACTCTCTCTCAAATCTGATTCTGCTCTTACAAATGTGCGCCTATGTGCTCTCAATAGCTGAGCTGCAAAGTGAGCAGCACTTGAAATGTGGTTAGAGTGCTTTCAAACATTTTGGCAGGGATTTACTTGTATAGCTAACTATAGCTAACTAGGAATGAGTCTGAAAATAACAGGAGAGACAGGAATGGTATTTTTCACCACAGTATTTACTACCCAGTGTTCTCAAGGTCATCTTGAGAAGTATGTCCTCATGCAACACTGGTGCATAAAGCTATGTGAAAAAGTCCAGATGTATAAAAGTTACCAATTATAGGTGTAAAGCTAAACCGATATGAATTGGAAAATCGATACAAGAGTCAGATTAATGGCTGCTTCGGTTGAAAACAGATTTGAACTAAATGAGTTTTAAAACAGTCTAAAACCAATATGGACAAAGAAACTGATCTTTGGCAAGTTTTCTGTTACCTCTTGGTAAGTGTGTCCTAGTGTGTCTCTTTCATGTGTGAGTATGCCAAGTCAATAACTGAAGCTATAATCTGTTTCATTTGCAAGGGCACGCCTGTGTTGATGAACATGTGGGATTTGGACAAATGACAGTGACTCTGAAGCTGAGGCACACAACAAACAGTGAGCAGGATTCAAGGTAAAAATGCATCCAGCTCTGTATGATAAGGTGAAACAGCAGCTGAAGGTTTACTGTTCACCAGTGCCCACTGTTTACTGTTGTTTAAAAGAGTAGATATCATGTTTTATCTATTTGGTTTTGCTGCTTGAAATACAAAACTGCTTTGAGGAAATACTAATTTTATACCCCAAACAGATACTTTAAAAAGCCCATGGCATTCTTTTCCTTGCTTTCTGATTTATCTACAATGTTAAAACAGTGAATTATCATCTTAGGCATGACCTAAAGCTCAAAAAATGAGGTGTACATACAGTGTGTTCTAGTACTTCTATCCAGAAGCAACTTAGTTTATACATGCCTTGCAAACTCTCACTTGCGAGACTTTTTCAGCAACATAAAGTTCTTGAAATACAAAACTGCTTTGAGGAAATACTAATTTTATACCCCAAACAGATACTTTAAAAAGCCCATGGCATTCTTTTCCTTGCTTTCTGATTTATCTACAATGTTAAAACAGTGAATTATCATCTTAGGCATGACCTAAAGCTCAAAAAATGAGGTGTACATACAGTGTGTTCTAGTACTTCTATCCAGAAGCAACTTAGTTTATACATGCCTTGCAAACTCTCACTTGCGAGACTTTTTCAGCAACATAAAGTTAGGTTACTGCATGTCCAGGAATGTTCCTGTACAGGGACTCGCTGTTTTACCTGACTGGGTCTAATCTAAAACAGCCCGCCAGTGAAGCCCCTGCAACGGTGAATGATCAGCTCATCAATGCTAGATTACCCCATACCACAGTACCTGTTTGTTTTGACTGCTTGAGGCCAGTGTGTCTGCTGCATGTGATGTGTTGTGGATTAACAAACCATGATGTTATTGTCGGTGCTACGCTACCTGTTGGAATAATTTCACTACTTTGGGACTGTGTGGTCGTGTGGGGGAGAACGCAGTGACCACCGGTTGGATTTACCGACTTTGGCACTACTTGACAGAGAGTGATGCTTCCACTACATGGTGGGACTTAATGGTAAGTTAAAAAATAAAAGATAAACACGTTGCATGTCTGTTAATGCCTTGTTTCTATAATGTTAGAGAAAACTGTTGTAAGACTGGAGAAGATACTATGTCTACATTATGCCAGTTAAAATATGGGGTTTCTCAATTACCTGCTTTGTTTAGAGTGTTACACATCTCTTTTCATCGGTACATATACCACTGTTTGCCTATCGATGGAGGAGAAGTTCAAATAATAATGCTGTCACGGTTTGTCATGCTGTCCACTTTCACATTCTGCATCAAACATGTTAGGTAGGATTTGAGGTATTGTCACTGTAAAAACATAGCTTATTTATAAGTGTTGTTTGTTCCCTCATCGAGATGTGTTTCCCCTGTTCAAAACTCAGTTTCCTGTAGCGCCTCCCCTCAGTAGTTGTAGTGGTTAGGATAACGTTAGGAATCAGGTTAGCGGAAACACATCTAGATGGGGAAACAGATTTCAACAAAACGTTGGCAACAGGAGCATGTGCATTTTTAACAATGTTCAGGTCAGGTAACTGGTTAGGCCATTCCAAAAGCTTCAGCTTGTGTATTTCAAATTAGTTATATGGTGGATTTTGAGGTGTGCTTTGGAGTGCTTCACATCTCAATCCAGAATCTGATCGTATTTAGTGAAATCCATTCTTCCTTCTGTGCCACAAGCTGCCACACAACCCTAAAGCTCAGTGTAGATGGCAAGATGGTCTAGTCATCAAATGCTGCCCCTTTATTTCTCCAGACACACCTTTGTGTTCAAAGAGCTTGGTTTTATCTTCATCTGTCCACAGCATCTTTTTCCAAAATTACTCTGGCAGATCCAGAGATTGAGGCTGATGATCAATGAGATTATTTGGTAGTATGTAATTGATTGTACGTGCCTACCTGGAGGCTGCTGTGGCCATGAATACTGCTGCCAGTCCTGGAGAATGTAGGTAAAACGGATGGCAATGTTGACTGGAGGTAAATGGGACAGGGTACAATCCTGACGAGAGAAATATCAGAAAAAAAGAAGCTGTTGTATGGTTAACATTATCTCTGTACAAACTCTCTCTCCTGTTTTTACTTGGAAAAAGATGACACCTTTGCATCTCGTGCTGCCTTATGATTTTGGTGCTCCGAGAAATAGCCCAGGTCATGTTATTGTTTTGTATCTTTGTTAAATCTTTTAAAATATCAAATAAAGTGCTCTAGGATTTTTAATAGAAATTGTTTAAAATTGTAAATAAATTTAGGTGGAAGCCAACTCTTGGTGTAGCGGGTTTGTGGTGCAAACCAAGACCCTCCTTTTCAAGTGATCTTAGGACAGTGGCTTGGTCAGCACCTGCATGAATCAACATCCATATCACCCCTTGACAGTTTTCACACCAGCCTAAACAAAATGGATCAAACTGTTAAATCACAGTTGAAAATACACAAAAATCATATCACATGCAGTTGGAAAGACAAGCTCATTGTTTGTTCATGCATAATTGAGCACTGGTTAAAGCCAGGTGATAAATAACTATTTTGTGTCTGCCTTCATATCACTTACTATCTTCGACTTGAAGATGTCAAGCAGGCCAGACAGGTGGTTGTACTGGCTTGGCACCTTGCGGAGGTGAACCATCTCAAAGTCAGTGCGCACACCTGGTCCCTGGCACTCACCAGCATACATCCGCCTCCACTTCTGCTGGATCTGCACAAACATGGGCACCTGGCTGTATGAACAAAATAAACAGGAGAAGGCATTACTAGAAAAAAATGTGTGGGTGTTGGCTTTATCACTTGAATACTGCTCACATCCAGCTGCGGGTTCTCGTAGCCAGCTCAATGCTCTGATGCTACATGGCACCAGGTGAAGCACAGCATGACAGTTCTTTGTGGAATATGACCAGGATCGTGTAATCACCCTCCATATTTACAGGCACACACTGCCTTGTTTATATGTGAGGCTGACTTTCACTGATCTGCTCAACATTTGCTGGAGAGAGTGGGACCTGCTGACCGATTTTCCAGACATAGGAAATACGTGTCCACAGATGAGAATGTCCGCAGGTGTGTAACTATAACTAATGAATTTGCAGAATTTGTTCAAAAACAACCAAAGGTATAGCTGCTGCCAAAGGGGCTTCTACAAAGTACTGAACTAAGGGTCTGAATACTTTTAAGATACCGTTTACTCCAATTCACCTAGATTTTTGGACTTTGTGCTGCTGCACATACATGAGTCAAAAGTATCAGGTGAACATTTATGATGCCATAATCGTGTGAAAACCACCCACTGCCTCGAATGCTGAAGGTGACTCACCAGCCGGTGTTGGCCAGAGAAATGGAGAGGGAGCTGAGAAGCAGATTGCATTTGGACTCGCTAATGATGGCCTCACAGTTGGTTCCAGGGCTGATGACCACAAACTCTCGTATACCATACCTGTCAGCACAGATGCAGTTAGACCATGCACATCAGTATCACATTTCTCTCTGCTTTACTACCTCTGAAGTGTGGTATATTCATATATCTAGTGGATTTTTACTTATAACAGAGTATTTGTACACCAGGGTATTTCTCCTTTTTCTTAAATAAAGGATCCGAGTACTTCTTCCACCACTGGCATTTACAGCTACCTAGGTTAGAACAGTGAATGTACATATACTGACGGGGTATCTGCAGAACCTGATTTCTCAGAGTAACCTGCTTTATCTTTGCCTGTAATCAATGAGTGAACTCACCATCTAACCAGGCAGTGAGCTCGAGGAGGGAAATCATTGTTCATGCACAGAAGGTCCTGCATTGCCAAGGGGAAGGCATCTGGACACAAGAATGAAAGTTGTGTCAAACACAAATCGTTGGAAGGATTAACTCAGCTCCCTAACTGCACTCTGAAAACGGAAACACTAAATCAAATACAGTTCTAAAACAATGCTATTAACTACATCAGGTACTGTCCACATAGTAGTGCGCTCAGATATAGTTATACCTTCTTCAAACTTGTCCTTCCCATCATTCTTCTCATAAGCTTGTTTCAGGAAGTAATGAGTTATGTAGAACTTAAAGTCAGCAAAATGTATGTCCTGGGACTTCTCCCCCCAGGTGCCACTGGTGTATTCACCCTGTGTTCACATAACACAGCATCATAACAAAGTGCAGGTACAGAACCTACTGGTGACATAAGTCTACACTGGTATTATTCAGCTGAAAGGTTAAGGTTAAGGCTTAATTAGAGCTGAATACCTTCTCTGGGGACAGCTTTCCTGCAGAGCTGCCAATCAGCTTCCAGTCATTCAGCACTTCCTCAACCCTAGACACAAAACTTTAGGTAGAAAACATGAGTTCTACTGTAAGCATCAGAGATAAGTTCGACATACAGTACATACTGTAGGTTATTAGGAGATGCACTGAAACCTGACTTTTATTAAGGACAACAACACTGGCTATGCACTAATTTAGCAGTGAACTAAATAGCCCATTAATTGATTGTAAAAAAAAAAATAAAAATTTACAAAAAGTCAGGAATTTAAACAAGCTATTAATCATTTAAGTCATTAACCAAGTGGGAAAACCAAAAATTTTCTGATTCCAACACATCAAATGTGAATATTTGGAACTTTTCAGTATTACGTCATAGTGAATTGAATGTTATATGTTACATAAATTTTGTGAGCGCGTTTTAGATCCCTGTGTGATCTCAGTCTCACGTGACAACAATTTTGCCGTGTTTGCATTAGCAAGGAGGTGCCTTGCATAAAACCAACCGCTCCTAAGCTACATTAGTCAATAACCGCAACTAATAACCGCTAAGTGATTCATTACTGTCTCAACTGTTATTCGGCACTAGGACAAACAGCTCAACATTCGAAAAAAGGTTGCAGGAAAGCCGAGAATACCTTTCACAATGTCAAACATGTCAGATTAGGTTTTAAATCAGTTTTCTCTTCCTGCCTACAGCTTGTCAGGTGATGTAACGCATTCCAGATATTGGTTAACACAGCTTATCAAGGAAAAGGAAGCGCTTGATTTGATGCAAGGCTTCTCTCTGCTATTGCAAACACGGTATAGCCATTGTCATGTGAGATAGATTACACAGGGATCTGAATCACACTTACAAAACGATTTATCGTGCAGCCATACTAAATATCAAACATGAAGTTACAACAGTGACACTGGGCCTCAACACCATCAGTAAGGTGCATTTATATCTCGTGTCAGCAAACATATTTTACATGTTGGCTTTTTCAACAATGCATTTAATTATAGCACTGTAAGGTATTACATAGTAAACTCTACAATGAATGCACCACTTTTGAACAATAGTTTGCCAACTTGAATAACAACAAGCAGGCTTCTTGGACTTTTACTGCTGCATAAGAAACTAAAAAATTGAAATCAGAGAGGTGTTATACAAACCACCAGGTATCACTGTACTTAATTTGAAGCTTTCTTTGCTTGGCACAAATAGAAACAAAGCCCCAAAGCTTCATGTCCAACACAACTATGTGTTTTAAAAAGATGTTTTTATGTACATGTATAAAAGTAATTCTGATACATTTTTAAGGTGTGCAAATGTATGAAAAGCTGCTATTGCAACATGACAAAAAATTAACCAGCTCTCATTTTCAGGCTGTAAGCACAGGTTGTGAAGATTACTTACACCACTAACAAAGTTATAGTGGTGATGAAATATTGGGCAGAAAATAAAGATTAACTAGAAAATTGCGTTTTCTTAAGAAAATGTGTATAGATGCTGAGTGCTGAAAGATGCTGAATCAGCATCCATACAATAATAATAAAGACCAGGAAAACAAGGTATGGATGCTGAGGCAGCATCCATACAATTAAGACCAGGAAAACAAGGTATGGATGCTGAGGCAGCATCCATACAATTAAGACCAGGAAAACAAGGTATGGATGCTGAGGCAGCATCCATACAATTAAGACCAGGAAAACAAGGTATGGATGCTGACTCAGCATCCATACAATAATAAATAATTGGATAACATAGTATGGATGCTGAATCAGCATCCATACAATAAATAGTATTATATTCAGTACAAATCGTAGCTGTGACATTTTGTATGTCCTACTGATTTGACTACAGCTCCTTGTCTCCTCCACTTGCTCTCATCCACATTCCAAGCAAAGCAAAACTCATCTCCAGCTAGCATAGTGATGATCTGGCTGTTTACTTCAGGCTCCAGCATGACATGTTTTTTTTTTCTTTTTTTTTTTTAGATCTGACTAATATGGGCTTTTTTTGTGCTGATATAATATGACATTGAATATGACACACTATGGCATCACATTTCTGCCACAATAAGAAAAAAAGTTGCATAGTTTCTTTTGATATCATAAAGCATTTAGATTACCAGTATCCTTTTCACATTACAATGAAATCAGATCAAATCAAATGAAACAAATTTTCATGTTATAAGGACATATTTTTCATTCAATCTCTAATCTGTGAAGCCGCTAAAATGTCAAAGTGGGAACTGCTAATGTGTTTCTTTGCAATACTATTATTAAACTAGAATCACCACTTCAAGGTTGTATGCCTCTGCCAACCAGTCAAATTCACGAGTATGGGTCACTGACCTTGACCTTTGACCACCAAAATCTAATCAGTTCATTACTGAGTCGAAGTGGACACAAAAAATTCCCTCAAGTTGGTCCTTAAATACCACATTCACAAGAATGGGCTGTACAGACAGACAGACAGACAGATGAACAGACGGACAACCTGAGAACATAACGCCTCTGATCGGGGCTATTGCCAGCACAGAGGCATAAAAATTGAGATGTCCCCAAACATTTGAACAGTAGTGTATATACCAGGAGATGTGTGTGTCCAGTGAACTGATATGATTGTGCTGGCTGTGCACTGTGATGACGCTGCTCTGACATTCCTGATGTGTACACTAGCAAGTTCGCAATTCATGTCATGTGCAAAATACAGGATTCAAACCTTCAACGTCTGGATTAATTATACTTTCTCAGCAAATGCTAGTACACTAGGGGCTGTAAAGACAAGCCACAATAGCAGCTATAGCTGCAGATACAGTATATCCACACCCATAGAAACAGACACAGCTGCAGCAACCCCAACAGTTGCAGCGGTAAATGGACTTATATTTGTATGCCGCTTTTCCATGCATTGCAGCACACTCAAAACACTTTCAAACTATTTGGCCATTCACACTCCCAAACACACACACATTCACACACTGGTGTCATCACCAGGAGAAACTGGGGGTTCAGTGTCTTGCTCAAGGACACTTCGACATGTGGACTGGACAAGCCGGGAATCGAACCACTAATCTTCAGTTTAGGAGACGACCCACTCTACCTCCTGAGACACAATTGTTAACCATACTGTCAAAGCTTGGCAACACTACTAAACAACAAATGCATAATGGCCAACACACAAAGCTGCTCCCACAGATTAGAGGGAATGCAAAAACTATCACATCGCTGTCAATATCTGTTTTTAATCACAGAACATACTGAACATATCTCATTTAAACAAGACACTTTGTAGGAAACTGTTGTTTCTTCTTTCCTACCTTACTGATTAACTCACAAGGTTTGTCCTTGTCTTTAGGGTGAACCACTGGAGTAAACTACATGAACTAGCTTCACCTAGAACAGCTCCAACAGAAAAATGCTAAAAAAAAATTGCAGCAGTGCGCATTAACAATTTCATTTTGTCACATAACATTTTACAGGACAATCAGTATTTCTACCATACCTTTTTACCTAATGTAAACTTAAACAAGAAAAAGACAAACATTCGTCATTTGGTCTATAAGGTTAGTTCATTAATGATGAAAATGCCATAATAGCATAAATTCGCTATAGCTAACATGACAGAATACAATATAAGGTGAGCTTACTTTGTGTATGAGTGTGCATGCGTCATGTTGGCAGCTCGCCCCAGCTCTGTGACTCTCAGGTATTATGGACATAAGAGTCAGAGAGCTGAGCCACTGTGAGCGTTCGAACATTTTAACCCCATACTGTCGTTTCATAACATTGCCCAAAAATCTGAAGGTACTCTTCTAATGATACAGAATAAAAAATCGTCCAGGAAAAGTACACATTTTGTCTGTTTTCTGACAAATTCATATTTTCCTAAGGTACTGTAATGACCCCTGACGTGGATCGTCACCGTATGTAATTCCTTGTGTAATACATGAGAGTATTACATACATACTGTACCTTAGAATCACCGAGCTGGGACTAGCTGACAGCAAGACGCTGCCTAGCAACAGCTTGCATACACTCGAGTGTATGCAATAAGTGACAAGGGAGTCACACGCTTGGTCTAGACGCTGACATATTGATTACTACTAATAATATCAACTATAACTTGTGTATTATAGTTATAGGCTAATATTAAACTAGGAACTGTAACGTTAGTCGTTGATGGTGAGCTCGCCTACCGTTCCCACTCTGATGCGGTGGTAAAATCGGTGATCTCAAACACTTCTGACTCGGGCTGGAAGAGACAGACACAGGTTCAGATTGAACAGAAATTCACGTATGCTGTTATCAGTTGCGCGCTTAGACAACTACGCTGAACTCCTGTATTAAGTTATTTGACTAAAGAAACCTTTAAATACAGCCATGAAAAAACTCACATCGCTGTCAGCAGCCATGATGTTGTTTTTCTTCCACCACGTCCGGCATCTCATCTTCCTGTTTCCGACCGGCAGTCTAGACGCTGCATTGTGTATCATTGCCCCCTACCGTGCAAAGCTCACATCAAGAGTCGTTCTGCAACTGTCACAAACACGAACAAGATTCACAATCGCAGTTAAACTGGGATAGAACACATGTAACAAATAATTACAAGCACAGTCCTTTTTGGGAATTTGCTAGGTCTGAATCAGAATCTTTATTGACAAGTATGTTAAAATACAAGGAATTTGACCCCAGTTCAGTGGTGCCCAATGTGCATTCAAATAAAATCAAATAAAATTAATAAGTAAAGTCAAAGAGACAAAAGCAACAACCTACTGATAAATATATGTACATATATACAAGATTCAAAAACAGCTATTAAGTGTGATGTCCAGGATGTGAGAGGTCTGCAGAAACTCTTCGCTGCCTTTAACTTGACCACATGAGGTGTACAGGTCCTCCATGGAGGACAGCCTGGCACTGGTGATTCTTTCTGCAGTCCTGACTGTCCACTGGAGTATGTTCCTGTTCTGTTTGGTTGCTGTGCCAAACCAGACAGTGATAGAAGAGCAGAGAACAGAATTGATGATTCCTGTGTAGAACTGTATCAGCAGCTCCTGGGGTAGATTAAACTTCCTGAGTTGGTGCAGGAAGTACATCCTCTGCTGTGCCTTCTTGGTGATGGTGCTGATTTTGGATGTTCACTTCAAGTCCTGTAAGATAGTGGAGCCCAGGAACTTGTAGATCTTCACGTCCAATACAGTGCTGTTGAGTATGGTGAGGGGAGCTCCCCCTAACTGTCATCTCCACTGATTGTGTGGATGCTGTAAAGCATCCACACTATGCTCTTCTGTTCTTTATTTATTGTATGGATGCTGATTCAGCATCCATACATAGGAAAATGTTCACATATTAATAAGTTCAGTATACTTTCAGCTAGAAAAGCCATTCTGGTATCAAAATGTTCAGGTTTTTCAAGACATTATAGCATGTATTCAACTTTTTTTAAAAACGTTCATAGTTTTCAGCATTTATTCTGACAATTTTGCCCCATTCAAATGAATGGGAAAATTCTACTTCAGCATAATTTCAGCTATCAAAATGTTCAGGTCTTCAAAGACATTCATGCTTCTATTCAGAAGTTGTCTAAACTTCATACTTTAGAAATATTTATCTTTATTTTGAAACTTTTTCACCATTCAAAAGAATGGGAAAATTCTACTTCAGCATACTTTCAACTATCAAAAGGTTCAGCTCTTCAAGGGCATTCATGCTTCTATTCAGAATTTTTCTAAACTTCATACTTTTGTAATATTTAGCTTTATTTTGAAAATCTTGCCCCTTTCAAATGAATAGGGAAATTCTACTTCAGCATACTTTCAGGTATCAAAATGTTCAGCTCTCCAAGTACATTCATGCTTCTCTTCAGAATTTTTCTAAATCTCATACCTTTGAAATATTTATTTTTATTTTGAAAATTTGCAACTCAGGCCACCCATTGATCAGTGCACCTCAAGATCAAGATCAGGGTGCCAGAGAGATGCACACAGACACATACCTGGTCTAGGTCACATATCAGCAAGCAAGCGCAGGCAGGGGTTGACCTACTCACACCAAATGACCAATAGGATCATGAACTATTGAAGGATGCATCCCTGTTCAGGGTGGAGCAGCCTAAGAAGATAAATGTGTTGTAAAAACTTAAGTCAGGATTCAGAAGCAGGTTTTCCTGCGGGAGCTCTGTCTCTCTGAATCCAGTGCTGTAATACCTACCAGTGATCAGGCTTTCAGTAAACTTTCTGTTGATCTTAAACAGTCCTCTCCTGTCTTCACTTCTCGTGCTTCCAATAAAACAATTGGGTTCATTTCTAACAGTCCTATTGGACTATTTTCACATCTTAATAAGCTCAGCATACCTTCAGCTAGAAAAGCCATTCAGGTATCAAAATGTTCAGCTCTTCAAGGCCATTCCTACTTTATTGCATCTCATCCTTCAGATTATTCAACAAAGAACTTCTTCTCATCTTTCAGCTGTTTCAGCAATTGATTTCAGGGATTTTCAGGACAATCTTTCAGCTTTTATTAGCATCCACATGCATTTTTGACAGGAAATGTATTTCTCTAGTTTGAGTATAGTATGTTCAGCTCCTGTTGGTTGCAACTGCATCATCCACTTACCTGATAGGCAATCTGCAGGGGGTCCAGCAAGAGGTCTACAATGTGATCACATGATGTCAGGATGACAGGTTTGTAGTCATTCAGTCCATAGACCTGTAGTGCCATCCAAAGGGGAGGAATTCAAACAGTTTGTGTTCATGATGTGAGGGGTCCCCACTGATGGGGATGGGCATTATGGTGGGGCCTTTGAAGAAGGAATGAACTTCACATAGCTTCAATGATCTGTTGAAGATCAGTGCGAAGATGGGAGCCAGCTGATCAGCACAGACTTCCCCAGGCTCTGATATTGGCTAATTTTTTTAGGCTTTTTGTAGTCTGTCCAGCTGCCATCAACTGTTGCATAAACCTTTACCTCAGCAGATGCAAGCACATTTCCAACTAAAAACAATAAATAGTATTATATTTTTATTATGTCTTTGATGTATTGCCTGGGGGACCCTATTAAAATCAATCAATCATTGATGGCAGTGGGCATAATATAAACCTAATGTGCACAGAACAGGTTAATAAGAAACACTATCACTAAAAATGATCTGAATTTGGTATTGTCAAATAGTGTTAAACATATACCATCATTAGAGGGATCTAGAGCTATCTTTGTAGAGGTTTGTTATTGTTATGTAAGACAATATTAGCCTTCAGCTTGACAAACTGAAGGGAAACATGCAACAAACATGCACCTCACTAAGCGTAATGACATATCCAACTCCATCATGTGAATTATTAAGTGTGATACTTGAAGTTCACTGTGGGAAATACTATTACCCTATTTTTGTGTATTGCGGTTTTAATGCTTTGTTGCCTTTATGTAACTTTTTATTTTAAGACTAAGTGTTCTTTCTGGCTTTTGACTCCTTACCTGACTCCAAAGGAGAGCTGCACAAGAATTCCTATATGCCTAGACTGTCTGTTTATGGATAAATTGCAAATAAAAATCTTGAATCCTTGAACAACAACTTTTTTGTCTCCTGCAGAATATATTAAAATAACCTTCACTCTGGAGGGGACAATATGTCAGTTACTATTCACAATCCGATATTGCTCAGGTCAGTTCATAGGAGTTCACATCAAGAGCACACTCACTTGGAAGGTGTATGTTGACACATTGTGCTCAAACACACAACAAAGACGGTAGGTATTTTTACCCAAACTGAGACTCTACGATGTTGAACAGAAACTGGTGATCATTTTCTGGCCAGCTAGAGGGTATCATCCAATATAGGATCACTGCTTGATATGGAAACTGGTCTGTCCAGATTGGCCAAATGGTAAAGTCTGCCATGAAAATCATTGGTCTCAAAAATTATTCATCTTCCCAACAGATTTATGAACAAACACTGACCAAGCATGTCCTTGGAATAGTGTCAGATACCATCCACATCTTACATAGTGAGTTCCAGCTCTAACCTTTTGGAATGTGGTTTAGAGCTCCTAGATGCAGACTGAAGCACTACAATAATTTTTTCACCCCCACCTGTATCAGGACTCTAAATACAGTGCAATATTGTTGGTTTCAAGCTCCTTGTGCAATGAGTAAATGTTGAATGTGAAACAATGGTGAGGTCTGATGCAGATTACTGCAGGATTCATTGCAATTGTTACTTTGTTTTAGTTTTTTTGTTAAGGTTTTCTGTTTTACCTGTTGGTTGTGCCTTGGCTCATTTTACTGTTGGTGGTGTTTTTATGCTGATTACTGGTTTGGCTCTGTACGCATGTGACACCATCTTGCCTTTTATGAGGGGGAGGGAGGATAGGATGAAAAATGTGGTTCTTTTCAAGCATTTTCAAAACCATTAGTGTCAGTAAGAGTCTACTGCACCATACTCTCACTGGTTTACATTACTCTTAAGGTAAAATCAGATATCAACAAGATGATACACTGATGATAAAATGTTACACTAGCAACTTTTAATACAATCACAATTAATATATGTACCCTTAAGTAATATTGGATCTTTTCACCTCAAAAATTTCCTCTGATAAATAAAAACTCTCATAAATGGCAAATAAGGTTTTTTTTTTTTTTTACTTCCTTGTGGAGGTACATTCAGAGGTCAAAGGTCACGTTCAGTGCCTCTTGGTTTGCAGCTGCCTGCTGATGAATCCAAGCTGCAGTACCACCCCCTGCCTGCAGAGGCACCAGAACTTACTTAAATGGTAAATGGACGGGGGGGGGCTTGCCCAAGGACACTTCGACAGGTGGACTGGAGACACAGATTTGAACCTTCAATCTTCTGGTTGGATTCGACTGCTCTACCCAACCTACCACTGTCGCCTCCCCCATCACACAGAAAGCAGCCAAGAAGCTACTTTTGTGTCTGTAGCCACAGGAGGACACATGTCAAATGTTACTCAATTAAAAATGATACAGGAAGAAGCCATACAGTACATGAAAACTGGGCATGGTATCCTATGTAGGCTATCTAAGAATTTTGTAAACGTACAGAGAGTGGCGCTAATGCTCTGCCCGGTTGCATTTCAATGTTACAACGAAGAAGAAGGAGGCTCGTGACCACTGTAGCTTTTATTTACATACTTCCCCGTTGCATTTTATTATATGCGTTTTATATTTTGACGGATTCGTGTGCTGGTCTGATCCTATCAACTGTCAGTAACTTAGGTGTTCTAAGCCACGTTCTGAAATTACATTTTGCTCAATGGCCAGTTCATTTCCAAGTGTATCCGAACTTGTTGCGGATGCTCGTCGTGTGTTCGGACAGGTGTTTGGGGAAGAGACTCCTCAGGTGGCGGTGTGTGCGCCTGGAAGAGTCAACCTGATAGGGGAGCACACTGACTACAACCAGGGATTTGTACTTCCAATGGTAAAACGACCATTAATTTTCAGTCATTGCAAATGTGAACTTCGTGTTAACACATCAAATGTTGTTTAAAGCTCTGTTAAATGTTTGCTGTGCTTGTGGCGGACAAGACATGACTCCAAACCTCTACAAAACATGTCAAACACTCCCTCATTGCAGTTCCGTATGCATGCAGTACTCACGCAGTTCCGTATGCATCCAGAACTCCCAGCAATGATTAGTTATGGATAATACAACTTGACTGCCCCCATTGCAACCTTGCGTTATCAACAGTGTTACACTTTAAAGTAAAGACTTGCATGATTTTAACAGGTGAGCACAACCTAAACATTGGCATGTGGTCTTAAGTTCCGCTAATATGCAATAAGCAAAAAACGTTTGATTTTGTTTTTAATGGAGTTTGGCAAGCTATTTAATCTTTCACCCATCTTGAATATGTTCATTTGTGTTTGGTGTCTCAGGCGCTGCCCCTGGTGACTGTGGTAGTAGGGAGTCAAACCTTTGGCCAGGATGTTACCGTGGTAACAACAACTGAGGATGCTGATGAGCCTAGGAGAGTGGACTTCAGATTGCCCACTGACAGATTGTTTATGTCTCCAGGGTCACCCAGCTGGGCAAACTATGTGAAGGGTGTTATACAGCATTACAGGGGTAAACACAAAAGCTATGACATTATCCAAAGCTCCAAACGCTTTATCTGGAATATACATTAATTAGATATTATAGTTTTAAAACTGAAATATTAGTTTTGACAGCAGTTAAATTTTCATTTTTCACCTATATCAGTCAAGATAAATTAAAACAGACATACGACACAAGCTTGCCAGTCTCGTATCATATCCTTTCTTGGTATAACACAACAGCAGGTTTATTTCATGTGCCTTATCTCTGTCTTTCATGCTTCAGCTCCTCTTGTCTCAGGTTTTAGAGCGGTGATAGCCAGCAGTGTCCCCTTGGGAGGCGGTCTGTCCAGCTCTGCCTCTCTGGAGGTGGCTTTCTACACATTTCTGCAGCAGCTCAAACCAGGTCAGAGTTTGCTTACAGAAATTACAGTCACTCCAGTGTGGTTCTGATGCTCAGTTACTGCTAAGGATGCACCAATGCCGGGTCCAAATCCACCTTCTAGTACTCTACTGGCGGCTGTGGCTCAGGAGGTAGAGTGGGTCATCTCCTAACTGGAGGATTAGCGGTTTGATTCCCAGCTTGTCCAGTCAAAGTGTCCTTGAGCAAGACACTGAACCCCTGGTTGCTCCCAGTGATGACACTGGTGTGTGAATGTGTTAGTTTGGGAGTGCAAATGGGTGAATGGCCAATTAGTGTGAAAGCCCTTTGAGTGTGCTGTAAAGCATAGAAAAGCGCTATACAAATATAAGACCATTTAACATTTACTCTTACTCATAGAAGTTGTCCATCCATACCATATAACACCAGCATTACATTAACCTCATGCTGGCTGAGCTGGTCATTAGGTGGCAGAGAAGAAATTTCAGCGGTTCATGGATATTTTAAGATAAGTGATGACAACAAAAGTAATGCTGAAGCTCCTTGTTAAATAAAAAATTTAAAGTAACGACTGTGATATGTGCTCCTAAAGTGTGAGGTTCTGGTCAGGGGGTTGTGAAATCATTACATCTTAACTAAGGGTCAAATAAACTATTACAGTATGTTTGGTTGCAGGCTACAGAAATTCAGCTAGTTACACATTATTCAGTGGGAATGGTGGTGATACTAGGTTTGTTATCACAGAAAGTTTTCGGTTAATTTGCACAGCCTCTTGATATTCTATTGAATCACTGTCAGAAAGTAAACCTCGTGGAATTAAAACTGTCTCTAAAGTCAATGTGCTTTTATGGTAATTGTAGTTTTTTATAGTAGAAACATTGGTCTGAAAAAAGCGGTATCGCTGCATCCCTAGTTACAGCAGTAAGGAAGGGATCTTTATGTGATAAGATAAACTTTTTTGATCCCACAATGGGAAGTTGAAAACTTTTAACAGCAGGGAAGCTGCAACTTTGTCTGTCACTCAGTAAAAAACTTCTATAAAAGGAGTGAAAACTGTTGTTGTGAGGACAAGTCAGAGATAATTTTTGAGACAAATTCAACAGCCTCCCCACTCCAGGTGTCATATCATCACTACAGCCGCTAAATGTTTCTTTTCATAGAGACCAGTGTACAGTATTTCTCATTTTCAAGCATTTTAACAAAGATTCAAACAAATTGAATCTTTTTGAAAAGGATGAATGAAAAATGAAATTTTAATCTAGAGTAGGTCAACCTAACCACCAGTGAGCTTTGGGCATCCATGACCCTGACAACCAGTTCACTGGTTGTCCTTCCTTAGACCACTGTTAGGTACTAACCACTGCAGACAGGAACACCCAACAAGACGTTCCAGTCATCAACATCACAGTTTGGCCCTTGTCAGTCACTCAGATCCTCATGCTTTCCCGTTTTTCCTGCTTCCAACACATCAACTTTGAGGATTGAATGTTCACTTGCTGCCTATTATACTCCACACACTGACGTGCCATTGTAACGAGATAATCAGTGTTATTCACTTCGCCTGTGAGTGGTCAGAATGTTATTATGGCTGATCGGAGTACAGTCAGTCTTGGTGTACAATTTGCATGCTCAGAAATGGGAAGAACAAAATTAATTAAAAAAGATTAAGTTCCAAGAATTGGACAGCTACAAAACAACAAGTTCAACTGTAAAACAAGTCCATAAGCAACAATAAAAGAATCAAAAGCTTTGAAGCAGAATATTAAAGCAAGAAAAAAAGGGGAAAAAATGGAGAAAAACTTCCAAAGACAATAGAAACTTATAATCAAGTATGGAGCACCAGAAGCGATAATTAGATTTGATATTAGCTATTATTAGAGATGGATGATTCAGTTCTGTTTTAATTCAGTTTTATTTGTATAGCACCAAATTGCAATGTAAATCATCTCAGGGCACTTTATATTATGATATGATATGACATGATGCATAGTGATTTTCAAGGAAAAGCCTAAACATAATGGTTGATCTGCAGCTATATGAGCCTGGATCTTTGGTGTCTGTCTTTGTCCTTGTTTCTACAGATGATGGAGACAAGGTGTCCAAAGCATTAGCCTGTCAGCAGGCAGAACACACTCATGCTGGTGTACCCTGTGGGATTATGGATCAGTTCGTGTCTGTCCTCGGCAGAGAGCGCCATGCTTTGCTCATTGACTGCAGGTTTTGTCAATGTCCAGTGAGAGTACAATAATCCAATAGTCTTTGGTGACTTCCTTGTCTCCGCTGGGATCTTTTGGTTTAACCAGTGCTTAAAGTGGGCTCATATGCACCAGTAGGCGGTACTAGCACTTACACATTGTACTCTTTCGGGTACTGGGACTTTGTCTTGCATACCAGCACAAGCTGCCATACTCTTCTCTGGCGGCTCATTTGAGATGCACTGTGTCTTGCCTGGGAAGTGGACGAGAGCAAATGATTGGAGCCAGGGGTGGTGACATGAAGCTGCAGTCAGAACGGACAGTTTAGAAGCTTTCTGCCAGCTACAATGTGAGAGCCAGAGGGGATTAGCTCCTCTGACTTCTTGTCAATAATTTCAGTAATGAATAAATATATATTAGGATTATAAGTTTTTTTTTTACATTGTGTACATTTCATTTAAACCTAGCCTGTATTTGTTATTTGGTCAATTAGCCTCAGACCCTCAGTCCCTTTTCTCCCCACTTCAAGCACAGGGCTAAACAGTAGAGGAAACTCTACATATTTATATCCACCATTATCAATCTTGCACTTTGTTGTTTGACTCAGATCCTTGGAGGCCACCCCCTTGCCCCTCGCAGATCCAAGCTTGGTCATTCTCATCACCAACTCCAATGTGAGGCACTCACTGTCTGGTGGTGAGTACACCGTGAGACGCAGACAGTGTGAAGAAGCTGCCTCTGTCCTAGGAATGGCCAGTCTTAGAGATGCTACAATTATGGACCTGGATGGTGTGAAGTATATTTTTTATTATCTTGTACTGGTCCATTCTGTTCCTCTCTGTCTATCTTTATTACCCTCTGTCCTGCCCTGTCCTGGCCTAGGATGTTGTTCTGACTCCTGCCCCATCCTGTCCTCTTCCATTCCATTGATGTAATTCTCTCTTGTTATGTCTTTTACTGTGTCATACTACTTCTGTTACAGAATCCTAGTGCCATCCTTTTCCCCCTCAAAGCAAATAGAAAATTAATACCAATCTTGTGTGCCTGTTAGTTTGGAGCTGCAGTGATGGTGTGGCTAGCCTAGATTAGTATAAAGGCTGGAAGTTGGTGGAAACAGCTAGCCTGTTTCTGTCCAAAGCCACACCCACAAACACCTCATGAAAAGCATTACATTTATTTTGAGATTCAGTGAGAAATGCTCCTGCCATGGTCTATTGAGTTTGTAGAATTTTGTTCCATTTTGACTGATATGTGAGCATGATGTAAGCTATGTGCAATGTGCAAGAACATACAGAATCAGGGGAGGGGATTCTAACATATAGCATTATTTATGTAATGTCAACTAACTAGCTTCTTTGGCTAATGTAACTAGCTAAATCAGTAAGTGTTAGCAATTTCTATACTTGTAAAATAGGCTAAAATCTTCTATGTCTATTGTTACCATTCACAAGAATTACTCCCCCAAAAAGTTATAGCCTACTTCATGTACTGTATTCTTTGTGAAGGCTAACCCTATCAATGGCTGTAACTACCATCCTTAGTTGACTGTAGAGAGAAATATCCAGTCACCTGTTTGATTAACTTGGTGTTGCTGTCACACACCAATCACACGAACATTTGTCCAAACACTGATTGTGGATTGGCAGGTCATTCCTGTTGCCAGCATACATGTCATTTTGAGATCAAGTCATCTCTCCTTTATTTTTCAGAGCATAACCTTAAGGGGAAAATCAGTCTTTGCCTGCACTCCTTAAAGCTAAATTTAGTGACACAGTACTCAAGTTAGTCTTTAACACTATTTAGGGTTGTAGTGCTTTTATTTATATGGCTAATAGGTAATTAAAACAGTAAAACCTGAATAGATGGGACAAGGTGAACACTTGTCAGAAAGAGCAATTCATTTTTTTAGACAAACATTTATCCTATTTGGTTTTGTTGTCTCCTTCCCTATAATTTCAGAGGCAAGGGACAGACTGGATGATGTAACCTATCAAAGAGCTTGTCACGTGATTAAGGAAATAGAAAGAACCGTCCAAGCTGCTGAAGCCCTGAAGAGAGGAGCCTACAAAGAGTTTGGCAAGCTTATGGTTGAGAGCCACAACTCACTCAGGTACAGTTAAAGCAGTTGTATCACACCTGAGTTGTGTTTGGGGACAAAATGTGGGAGGTGTGTGGTAACTGCATGTCCCCATGTCAGGGATCTGTATAAGGTGAGCTGCAGGGAGCTGGATGAGCTGGTGTCTGCAGCCATGGAAGTGGAAGGGGTGTTTGGCAGCCGGATGACAGGTGGAGGATTCGGTGGATGCACTGTGACTTTACTGCAGGCTCATGCTGTTGACAGGACTATACTCCACATAAAGGTTAATGCACACATATACACATGCGAACAAAGATTACCTGTTCTCTATGTACATTATCAGGATTACCTTAAATATATTAAGAAAAAAATCTTAAAAATACATATAAAAAGCTGGTAGGTCCAAATTAAAATACATATGCTGATATTAACAAAGCTTTTGTTAAAGTAATTCTACATTTTGGCTCACATGATGTCTGGTGAAAACAATATCAGCTGCATTTCTGTGTTAAGAAACTGATCCATAATTTGTGTCAAAGTTTATGGGGGATTCTAGGCCAATAAATTGAAAAGAAAATTAGATCATTAGGAAATTACCAAAAATTCAGTGAAAATGTTTGCACTCTTAGCTTAGACTTATTAACCCTTATGCATCCCTAAGTACATTTTTTGTCCTTTTCACTTTTTTATTTTCAAGCCAATTTGGCTGTGTTGAATGAATACAGCTCAAACTTGCCAAATGATATTTTTTTTCTTTTAAATTTAAAATTGAGGTCTCACTTCCTTAAATTGGCCTAAAATGGCTAAGAAAAAAACATCCATCCAAATATTGCCCTCCAGACATTTTTTGTCCCATTGAAACCCATTAAAAACGCTATATTTTTGGCCAGTGGCCATGTTGTCACTTAATTCTCACAAAATAGTTCATATAACAAAGAGTGTGACCTTCTAAGAGAAAGGAGTTGTGAATTTGGGCACACAAACCTATTCTGTTCATTGTACGCCATTGGAACAGCTTTGCGTGTGCGAGCACGTGCGCAGGCACGCACGCGAAATCGCACAAACACACAAAGGCGCACACTGGATCAATACAACATCAAAACTGATATGCACTTTATCAAATCCTTTCATTATTATAGCAAGTCACCCTTGCAAAAAACTGTGGTACAAGTGCATTTTGGTTTTGTTTTGGCTGCAGGCTTCGAAAATGGAATCATGTCACCATCTGATGGATGACTATCAGAATTAAAAGTTGGGACCAAGTACTTCAAAATTCATAAGGAACAGAGCGCGGCGCATTGCTTTATTGTAGGATAAATATGGCATTGTTAGGTAATTTTTTAGTCGGATAGATATTGGTTAGATATTTGTTGTATTAGGAATGTTTAGTGGAGCCAGGATGTCTAGCTCAGGCTGTTAAATGCTTAGTCATTCTCATGAGTTTTTGCAGGGTGCATATGGCCAAGGACAACTAGATAGAAAAAGTTTGCAGGCAGGAAGATATTGTTATTATTATGATATGTGTAACCGTAATTGTAATCATAATATTTTCTTATGTGTAATGTCATGACATGTCACTAGATGTCATGTCAAGATGTTCTTAGATACACACCACTAATCAACAGCCACACACATTGATTTTCTTCATGTTTTGACTATTGTTATGGTCAGCTGCAAAGCTGGCATATTAGGTGACGTCACGGTTTGACGTTTTGTGTAGTATGGGCTAGCCCAACCAAGTGATAATATTGTATAGGCATTATGGTTCAGGGTCTTTCACACTTGATTCTGCCTGCGTATAATGTTAATTTTACCTGTGATTCTTTGAATAAACCAGCACGGTTATTTTTTATATAATCCAAGTGGTCTGCTTCGTCTCTGGGAGTTCCTGGTTACAAAGAGCCAGAAGAAGCTTACACAAAAATAGCTTTTAGCATCAAATATAGCGTTTTTAATGGTTTCAATGGGACAAAAAATGTCTGGAGGGTGATATTTGGATGGATTTTTAAAAATCTGCCACTACAAAAAAGACAAAAATGCATCAATATCAATGTTACTACCAATCACTGATCCATCCCAGGGCCTAATAATAATAAAATACTGGTTGAAATGTATTTTTTGAAAATTATTACATTTTTTTGTTTTTTTCCATTGAAAAGAAAGGGGTTATGACAACATACTGGCCTTTAAAAGGGTTAAAAAAATCCCAAAATATAATTAATATTTGATATGTATATTTCAGACAGAAGTAGTTTTTAAAAGATTGGCTAAAGTGGAAAAAAATGTGAATTTATGACATTGTTAGAGCTGTTTTTGCTTTGCTGCAAAGGGTACACTTTTTGTCCAAAGGGACACTTTTGGATGGATTTTAAAGGATGGCATGAGGGTTAAGGTGTAGTACAGCATTCATGTAGCCAAGTTCTTTACATATAGAAAATGTGACAAAAGGAGTTTTCCCATTATAGGAACCTATCAAAATGTGTTGAGCTGAGTAATACTCATCACAGGCTCTCGGCCCACTTTGGAGGCTATATTTCAGCCCCCCCTCAGGAGGTAGTACTAAAATCAAGTTCCAGGAGCACTGGGGGGGAGGGGTGGTTGTGTGCAGAGCAGTTGCCTCTGATTGGTTTTCCTAGTCTTCACACTTCAGTCATTAGCATTACAATTATGGTGTGTAAAGAGGCACTTGTAGTGGTTTAGAGTAGAGTAGAGTAGGTACTTTATTGATCCCATAGCAGGGAAATTTCTGTGTTACAGCAGCAATAGAGAACAACCAACATAACACCATAAGAACAGACACCACCCTAAGAACAGACACATAAGAACACGACTTCATAAAAACACGGAAAAGAAAACGAGGACACAGCTGCTGTAACTTGCTGCCACTCCGTGCGGCGCATGCATATGTAAGTACGTAGTAACAAAGAACACTTAAGTTACATAAAGGCAACAAAGCATTAGGACGATATGAACAAGGATTATAAAAGTAGCGTCATCAGAACGTTACATTTTACACAGCACAAATAAGCAAATCAAAGGCACCTAAAAACAGGGCAGAGCAGCACTGGAGAGAATCAGGAACAGCAGTAGAGACTAAACAACCAGGAAATCAAGAACAATTGAATATTACACAATTAATCCCACAATGGGGGAGAGAAACCTGTGTTTCAGCCATAAGGATCTCTGAACTACTCAAAAATACCTAAAGCCCCTGCAATGTACAGTATTTGAGAGAGATCAGGAACAAGATATTACACATGAGCCTATTTACAATGCATTTCACACCCAGGAGCTGAATATTGCACCTCAGTAGATTATTACATAGTCCCTCATAATTTAACCTATTTTATCACTGCAGTGATGTGTTGTACAGTCTGATAGCTGTGGGGAGGAATGACCTGCGGTAATGTTACTTCTTACACTGGGGATGTAACAGTCTCGTGCTAAAAGAACTGTTCAGAGCCTCTACTGTGTGGTGCAGGGGATGGGAGGGGTTATGCATGATGGATGTTAGTTTTACCAGCATCCTTCTGTCCACCACCTCCTCGATGGAATCCAGAGAGCAGTGCAGGACAGAACCAGCTCTCTTAACCAGCTTGTTGAGTCTCTTTCTGTCCCTGACCATGCTACCTCCTGGCCAACCCACAACTGTGTAAAAAATTGCAGCTGCCACCACAGAATCATAAAATAGAGGTAAAATGAGGACTCTGCTTGTTGGTTTAGAGGTAAAACTGGGACTTTAGTGAGTTGGACTATGGGTAAAGCAGTGAAGATGTCACATTTCTGCAAGTCTGTGTTATGCTTGTTCAACAGGTGTTCAACTGCTCATACAGTCTCTGTTACCAGCTGATTGTTGCACTATGGAGTGATACTTCATATCATCTGTTCTCCCTCTACTCAGCTGTGAGTGTGTGTGAAAGGGGCGTGGCCCCTCCCTCCTCTAAACAGAAACTGATACAGAGAAAATACAGTGAAAAATAAAACAGGACAGTCCGCGTCATCTTGGGAGGTTTTGCAGGCCGAAGTACAAGGTATACCACTCATTAGGTTCCGATAGTGGAAATGAAGCAAAAGTGTGGAAAATGGTACAAATTAAGGTTTTGGTCATAGGGCCATTGCCAGCATTGTCTACAGTCCCTGTCATTTCAAAAAATTGGAACTGCTCACCATTATTTTTATCTTAAACAATAGTTCAAATGACTGTAATGTGATTGGCCTCTTATTGATGAACTGACAAAGCATAACACACTGTACACTGTAGACTGACACAGTTGCCAACTAACTACCAACAGGCTGCTTGAGATTAAAATGTTACATGGCATAAAACAAGTCATGCAATACAGAGGTATAGACTAAGAGCTGACAGTGATACCTAGACTGATATGGTCTCCAGTACTGGCAGCTTTGTATCTGCAACAGTTCAGACTGTGAAACTACATGATCTCCAAGATAGATAGATTGAGAGTTGTAGATACTCTTTCTTTGTTCATCAGTATATCAGATGTTGTCAGATGTCATATAGCAGTTGCTACAAAGTAAATTTTTCCATTTAGTTGGGGACATTTGTTTTTTCTTTTTTTGTGAATCTGTTATCTGAAAATCTTTGCATTCCAAAGGGTATTTGAAATGAAAAGTATCTGAGGACATGGTTCATTTGTTCACAAGAGATAAAAAGCACTTTTCAGTGTCACAGTTGTCACTTTCAGGGGGCCATTTCAGACAAATTGCCCAGTCCCCTGTGTCTTGCTCGGACAGCTCTAGTGTGTGTAAGAGTTGAGAGATCAGGGGGGTATGAGCTGAAAATAAAAGCGAGCTTCATGGAGACGGAGCCAGAAGTGTCTTGTTATTATGCTGGTCTGGACACTGTGGCCCTGCTGCCTTTCTTCCTTAACATAGTCAGACTGTAGGCGTGCTGTTCACTGATACCATTCAGAACTTACTGGAGATACATCAACAAAAACATAAATTGAACCACAGAAAGTCACGGGAAAGGACTGCATCATAAACTGAAGGGATGAGATGTTTGCTTTGAAACAACAGGGAGAAGGGAAAGAATAAATCTTCAGCTTTGGAAACAGACTTGGCACAGTTCCTCGCAGTCTCCCTTAACTTGGCTGTATCCAGCCTGGCTGTCAAAGGAAACAAGTTTTTTCTTGAAGTTACCACATCCCTCAGTCTGCAGCATTTCTGACCAGAGAAGGAGGGTCCTTGTCCTCCCAACAGCATCAGACGAGGTTTCAGAAGAACATAAATGCTTTACCTCCAAGATGCTTAACCTCAACTCACCTGACGACAACAGCAATAAGAACTCTTTCCAGGACCCAGTGTCTTTGAATGTTGGTGGAGAAATTTACACCACAACTCTGGACACTCTGACGCGCTGCCGTGACTCAATGCTTGGTGCCATGTTCACAGGACAAATCCCTGTGGTCAGGGATAACAGAGGAAATATTTTTATAGACCGAGATGGTAAAGTGTTCAGGTATGTTCTGAATTTCCTGCGCTCCAGCTCTTACCCAAGTGTCTTACCCAAGGACACTTGGGTAAGACACTGAACCCCCACTGGGAGACGACTGCTCTACCCACTGAACCGCAGTTGCCCCACATGAAAAAGTGATCAGACCCCCTTGTGGGTGTCACTGTGGACTAGAACCATGGATGTAATACGGAAAGTTGATACTCAGCCCATTTTTCCCAGTTGCCATTTGAAATACTTCAATGAAAAATCACCATTGGGTTCCAAAAAGCATTTTCTCTATAGACCACAATGATACCAGTGACATCTAAAACTATAGACAGCCCATCTTGATCTGCAGACCAGGTCCATTATCAGTCTTTGTATTATGAATTTTTTAATGCATGGAGGTTTTATATATGTAAAACTTTCCCAAAGCCTAGGTGTAGTCTAAGGGCCAAACAGGACCAAATGGGCAGAAGCATGTACAGTGGACCCTGCACAATGTGGAAGAAAATCCAGAAGAGATTTTTGGTGTGGGGTGGGCTAATTAACCTTCAGTGGGAACAATGTGTGCCATCTTGTAATCCTGGCTGTCACATAACCCCCCAATTTTGTACAAAGAAAATTTCTTTTGTGCAGCCAAGCAAGCACAAAACAAAAAATAAATGACTCAACAAATGTATTTGAGCAAATTACCCAGGGACAGATGAGCCCATGTTTAAGAGACAATGAAAACTCAGCAGTATTTGAAATTTGATTGGATTCATAAAGAACCTTTCAATGAAGAGATTTTTCCTGTTGGGAGAGTCAGAATTGAAAAGCTGGCACAACCTTGTGGGCTCATATTTATTGTACAGTGCCTTGCGAAAGTATTCGGCCCCCTTGAACTTTGCGACCTTTTGCCACATTTCAGGCTTCAAACATAAAGGTATAAAACTGTAATTTTTTGTGAAGAATCAACAACAAGTGGGACACAATCATGAAGTGGAACGAAATTTATTGGATATTTCAAACTTTTTTAACAAATAAAAAACTGAAAAATTGGGCGTGCAAAATTATTCAGCCCCTTTAAGTTAATACTTTGTAGCGCCACCTTTTGCTGCGATTACAGCTGTAAGTCACTTGGGGTATGTCTCTATCAGTTTTGCACATCGAGAGACTGAAATATTTGCCCATTCCTCCTTGCAAAACAGCTCGAGCTCAGTGAGGTTGGATGGAGAGCATTTGTGAACAGCAGTTTTCAGTTCTTTCCAAAGATTCTCGATTGGATTGAGGTCTGGACTTTGACTTGGCCATTCTAACACCTGGATATGTTTAGTTTTGAACCATTCCATTGTAGATTTTGCTTTATGTTTTGGATCATTGTCTTGTTGGAAGACAAATCTCCGTCCCAGTATCAGGTCTTTTGCAGACTCCATCAGGTTTCCTTCCAGAATGGTCCTGTATGTGGCTCCATCCATCTTCCCATCAATTTGAACCATCTTCCCTGTCCCTGCTGAAGAAAAGCAGCCCCAAACCATGATGCTGCCACCACCATGTTTGACAGTGGGGATGGTGTGTTCAGGGTGATGAGCTGTGTTGCTTTTACACCAAACATAACGTTTTGCACTGTTGCCAAAAAGTTCGATTTTGGTTTCATCTGACCAGAGCACCTTCTTCCACATGTTTGGTGTGTCTCCCTCAGCAGGGACAGGGAAGGTGGTTAAAATTGATGGGAAGATGGATGGAGCCAAATACAGGACTATTCTGGAAGGAAACCTGATGGAGTCTGCAAAAGACCTGAGACTGGGATGGAGATTTGTCTTCCAACAAGACAATGATTCAAAACATAAAGCAAAATCTACAATGGAATGGTTCACAAATAAACATATCCAGGTGTTAGAATGGTCAAGTCAAAGTCCAGACCTGAATCCAATCGAGAATCTGTGGAAAGAACTGAAAACTGCTGTTCACAAACGCTCTCCATCCAATCTCACTGAGCTCGAGCTGTTTTGCAAGGCGGAATGGGCAAAAATTTCAGTCTCTTGATGTGCAAAACTGTTAGAGACATACCCCAAGCGACTTACAGCTGTAATCGCAGCAAAAGGTGGCGCTACAAAGTATTAACTTAAGGGGGCTGAATAATTTTGCACGCCCAATTTTTCAGTTTTTTATTTGTTAAAAAAGTTTGAAATATCCAATAAATTTCGTTCCACTTCATGATTGTGTCCCACTTGTTGTTGATTCTTCACAACAAATTACAGTTTTATATCTTTATGTTTGAAGCCTGAAATGTGGCAAAAGGTCGCAAAGTTCAAGGGGGCCGAATACTTTCGCAAGGCACTATATATACTGGACATGTCAGCAGAGGTTGTGTGTGTACTGTATGTGCACACATTACTGATACCAGCTGTTTGTTGTGATGTGAGCCCACAAAGGCTAACAATGTGGAGACCCACTCTCCATGGCATGCCTAGTGGTCAGAAAAGCCACAGGGTACCTATAACTTTGGGGCTGTAGTTGATTAGCTAAGCTTAGCATAAAGACTTGAAGCAGACATTGGGTTCAATTCAATTTTATTTTTATAGCGCCAAATCACAACAAAAGTAATCTCAGGACACTTTATAAAGTAAGGTCTAGACCTTACTATTATTATTATTATATTGGAAAAACCCAACAACCAGTCAGCTTAACTCAGGAGTCCAAATTCCAGAGGGCACAGGAATACAGCGTGATCAATTTGCATTTGGGACAGCAGCATTCTTGGCTGGCTTGGCTCTGTTGATTGCACTTCAACACAGCTTCAACAGAGGCTGCACTGTTGCTATTCAAGTATAACATTAACTTCCAGTAACTCTACCTCTAGACAAAATAAAGAAGTAGCAACAAAGATTTGATTTCATTTGTGAAACCATCCATTCATCCATCCATCCATTATCTATACCGCTTATGCCTGAATGGGGTCATGGGGGAACTGGAGCCAATCCCAGTTGACATTGGGCGTGGTACACCCTGGACAGGTTGCCAGTCTGCCACAGGGCGGACACGTAGACAAACAACCACACACACTCACACTCACTCCTATGGGCAATTTAGAGTCACCAATCAACCTAAGTTGCATGTCTTTGGACTGTGAGAGGAAACTGGAGTACCAAGAGAAAACCCACGCAGGCACAGGGAGAACATGCAAACTCCACACAGAAACCGGCTTTAACCTGGAACCTTCTTGCTATTAGGCGATAGTACTAACCACCACTGTGTTGCCCATGAAACTCAAGTATACCTTACAAAAGGACTTGCAGAGACATCATAACAAGCAGTGAACTACGAAGGGGGTTGCTGAGATGAGAGATTGTCTCCCCATTGTAATGAGAGCCATTGACTGGTCAGTTGTCTCAGCTGCCAGATAAGCGGTCTCAGAAAATGTCAGAACACTTTATACAGTCAGTATAGAAAGTATTCAGACCCTTTCAAGTTTTCCACATTTTGTTATATTTCAGACTCATCTTGAAATGGATTGAAATGGTTATATAAACAATTTATAAAGGAAAGATCAAAGAAGGCAGAAGAAAAATATAAGTCATATAAGAACAAATTAACTGAGATTTTGAGGAGATGTAAGAAACTATATTACTCTAAATTATTAGAGGATAATAAAAATAACATCAGAGGTACTTGGAATATATTAAATAAATTGATTAGAAACAGTTCTAGAAAGTGTAACTACCCACAATATTTTATGGACAATGATACACAGGTCAACAAAATGGAGGATGTAGTTGAAAA